CCCTATCCCCCTGTCTGGCCTTCGCCTCCCCACGACTACATATATATTAAAAAGTTTGTCTATCTATATGGAAAAAAGTTTTAGATAAGGATAGCAACTTTTATAATGTAGAACTACGGATGCACCTTAAAATCCATCCGCTTTGATTGATCATCTCGACATCGAAACGTATGGCCATGAAAAATAAAAAGATTCTTAAGTCTCAGAAATAGTGCATTTTACAACATATCATCTGTACTGTCCATTTTCAAGATTTTTATATGTTCATAGATCTACTTGATTTTAACCATTTTTTAAATTTAAAATTTTATAATTAGATATAAAAATAGATTTTGAGATAATCCTAAGAACATTTTACATCAAAATTATATACCTTGATAAAATTTGAAGGTGCACCTTACCTCTACAGCTACGGTGCATCCGTATGCCAACTACACCCTCTATATATATAAAGGGTGTGTTTTCTATAAGGTTGCAACCTTAAACAATCCAATTAAGGCACATATCTAAAATTTATCATAACATATAATTTTGGTGTAAAACATTCTTAGATTATATAAAAATCTATTTTCATATCTAACTATAAAATTTTAGACTTAAAAAATGATTAAAATCAAGTAGATTTATAAACATACGAAAAGCTTGGAAATGGACGGTCTAGATAATGTGTTACAAGATGCATTATTTTTGGAACTAAAAATATTTTTTTATTCATTTTCATTAATCATGATATCGAGATGATCAATTAGAGGGTTTTTCAATAGTAAAACATCTTTTTCTGATGGATTTTTTAGTCTACATTTTAAGTTTGCAACCTTATATAAACTTTTTCCATATATAAATTCCTTGTGTCTTCATCTCTCCCTAGACATGGTGGTAACATTTCAAGTAAAATCTGTAATATCCCGAAAAAATAATCAAAAGATGCTCTCTCATAAATTAGGCTGCCAGAGAAAGTAGATATTCTTGGAGCACCATATGGAAGATTCAATATTATCCTCATGACAAATGATGGACATATTGGACCAGTAGTTATGATTGCCAATATGAGCTCTCCCGTCCATGCCAAGATTCATCTCATATGGATTGAAAGTTTGCTAAAAGATAAGAATAAGGCTCGGGCTGGCCTGAGTCCCTATAAGGCCGGCATGGCCCGAACCAGCTCTGGCCCATGGCCGGCCCTACCCCTATCACTGGCAAGGCTAAATAATAATTTAAGCAAAAATAAAGAGAAAAAGAGAGCTGGGCCAGGCTAAACTTGGTCGGACATATCATTACTCTGACCCGGCCGGGCCCTTAGGCCACATTTTATGGACCAGACCCTATATTTTTAGGGCCTGACAGGGCCAGGTCAAGTTTATGGGCCCATTGCCATCACTACAGCAAGCTATTAGAATTTCAGTTGAGTCCCCTCCGATTCCCTTCAATACTTTGATAAGGCTAAGTTTTTTTTAAAAAGAAAATTGTTTCATGCCGACTAGATGTAAATAAGTGGTCCATCTCAAAACAATTGTAATTAACGGTCCAATGTTTTTTTAATATGATTATTATTTTTAATTTTCAAAAAAAATAAATCACATTCATAATCTCCATGTAGATTATATATTCTCTAAAAAAAAATCAAATTATATTTAAAAATATATTTATTGCCACGCCCACATTTCTACGGTATGCGTGCTCGCCGCCTAGAAACCGGATCCTTTTTTTAATTTTTGTTTATCAATTTTGTAACTCTATTTACCTTGGAATTACTTGATCCATCACTCCACGCCTCCTCTTTCTTAACGGTTGGTTGGGTTAATATCGGTCAGTAGACACGCCACGACAAAACAAAGAAAGAAAAGAGGGCAGGCAGGACCCACACTCAACCTCCACGCGGACGTGCATCACCATCAATAAAGTACACATCTCTTTCACGTCACTACGATGGTCGGTGCTAAAACACAAACTAATGTAAAATGTCATTTTTGTTCAAACTGCCTATTACGAAGAGCATCTTTATTAAAAAGTTAATAGACAATTACAAAATAATGAGGGTGTGGATTGTATAGAGCTGAGGCTCTAAACATTCAAAGTAAAGCACACCTTCAAATAGCGTCGAGAAATGTGGTTTTAATATTAAAAATCTTTGTGATAGTCATAAAATCTATTTTTATTTTTTATTATAAAATTTAAAGCTTCAAAAATAGTGTAGATTCAATAGATAAGTGAAAACTTGAAAATCTTAACGGTCTAAAAATGTATCACAAGATGCACTATTTTCAAAACTTGAAATCCATTTTTTTTCTCATGTCCATGCATATTGATGTCAAGATGAGAGAATATTTGGGCATCAAAACAACCTCTTCTAGTGAAAATTTTTAAGTGGGCTCTAATTTGATTGATTAGAGCTTAGGAATATGTAAACTTTTTCCAATAAGAATCTTTCAATAAATTCAAATATTTTTTAAATTTATTGAAAAAATTTATGATAATTATCCAAAAAAATTTCCCGAGTATGATATGGGATATCCTCACTTTTGATAGCAGTACTACGGTCACAATTTCATTTTGAAAAAAATACAATAAAGATCATTTATCATTGGTACAAGGTGTTCACAATTAATCTTGACCATTGGATGTGAAATTGGATGATTGCATTTATTCCATTGACCATGCTCAAAGTTTAAAAAAAAAAATTCGAACCTTACGATACATCTAAGCCATCAGATTTCACATCGAATGGTTGTGACTAATTTGTGACCTCTTGTACTAAAGATAATTGGTCTCTTCGTATACAAACCCTTTTATTTTCTATATTTACTTAGGACGGGGATATCTCACTTTTGATGGTAGTACTCCGGTCACAATTTTATTTTCTATATTTACTTAGAAGTGGGATATATCATTATCAATAATATCCGCACTTTTCTCTCGGTGTATGAAAGCCTTGCGGAAAAATTAAGGAAATGTATTTTTGCAACCAAATAATGCATTTTTGACGTCCAAAAACCTTACTTAGCTTTTCCTTACAATAAAATTATAAAATTTGAAGCACACAAGGTACAACTAAGTTTGTAAATACACATTCCAGATAATATGCTAAAAATTGTATTATTTTTACTACAACTATTTTTCTGAAAACTATTTTCAAAGTCATGGTGATCGATGCGAGGGTCTCACGCAACAAAAAACTACAATTTACTATAAAGTTTGAACTCGAGTTCTGTTTCATAAAGTTTAGGCTTTATGTTCGGTAGGGCCGGATATGGGCCTGGTGAGAAACAAAGAAAAAAAAACAGCGCCTGGGCCACATAGTGTGGCTCGTAGGCCAGGCAAGTGCCGGCCCGGTTCAGCCCGGTCCTTTTTTTTTTTTTCTTTTTTATTCGATTCTTATTTATTTTTAGATTGGACCAGCTCGGCCTAGCCCAGAAGGCCCAAACAAATCTAAAACGCTCTATGGGGACAAGGTCGAAACCAGTGTTGTCAGATTCGCTTTGCTTCAGCTGAAGAGGCTGAAGACTTCGGATTTTAGGCTTGGACCGAAGCGAAGCAAAACCTGCTGCTTTGGTCAGCTTTGAGCCACTTAGGTCCAGCTTCAGTCAAAACAAAGAAATGTCTCTATAACAATATTTTTTTCTTTATTTTTAAATTTTTTTATTATTTATGTAAGGGTGTGGTTTGTATAGATTCAAAGCTCTAAACAATCAAATTAAAGCACACCTTCAAATAGTATAGAGAAATGTGGTTTCAATACTGAAAATCTTAGCCTTAAAATACATTTTTGTCTTCAATTATAAAATTTGAAGCTTCAAAAGTAGTGTAGATCTAGCAGAACAATGAAAACTTGAAAATTGAGGGTCCAAAAATGCGCTACAAGATGAAACTTGAAATCTATGTTTTTCTCATGTCCATGTATGTATCTTGATGTCCAGATGATCAATTTGAGGATATTTGAGCATCAAAACAACCTCTTATAGTGAAAGTTTTGAGTTGGGCTCTAATTTGATAGTTCATATCCTCGATTTTATATAAACTTTTTTCTTTATGTAAATATATATAATTTATTTTTATTAAATTTTAAAAAAATCATAAGTCTTTTGCTGTCAAATTACCTAATTACTTCATTTTTCTCACAAACCAAAAAAAGATTTCGAAGCAAATCCGACGATATTGGGCCAGAACGATGCTAGCGGGGCTTAGTCCGGGCCCCCTGCCACCCTTAATGCTCGCCCATGTGCAGAAGAGCCAAAGGCCTTACTCTGTATTATATATTTCCTCGAAAACGACATCGCTGCATAACCATCTGTCCTTCCATAACCCTTTAAAAGTAGAGAGTAAGAGAGACAGAGAACAGGAGTGGAATCTCTCTCCCTCTGCAACACCATCCACAATCATGGGTAGATCCTTCAATTACTGAACTTGCAGGCGACCAGAAAAAGAAAGAAGGATAAGGAGAAACTCAAAAAAGAAGAAGAAGAAGAGTGGACATGTTTAAAGCAACCAATGGGCTCATAGGAGCCATAAACTTCATAATCTTCCTCATATCAATCCCCATTTTAGGAGGTGGAATATGGCTGAGCACCAAGGCTAACACTGATTGCCTGAGATTTCTGCAATGGCCCATCATCATAATAGGCCTTTGCCTCATGGTTCTCTCTCTTGCTGGTTTCGTGGGCGCCTGTTATCGAATCTCCTGGCTCTTGTGGCTCTATCTCTTTCTCATGTTCTTCGTCATCGTCGCGCTAGTTGGCTTCACGATTTTCGCCTTCGCTGTTACTTCGCGGGGATCTGGTCGACCTATGATGAACAGGGCTTATTATGACTACAGTCTCTCTGATTACTCAGGGTGGTTAAAGGACAGAGTTTCGGATCCTGAGTATTGGGAGAAGATCGTTTCTTGTATTAGGGATGCCAAGGTTTGCCAGAAAATGGGTAGGTATTATGGTTATATGCCTGAAACAGCTGATGAATTTTACAGAAGGCATCTCAGTCCCATCGAGGTATCTTTTCTTTCACTATTTTTTGGTTCTGTTTTCTATTTTTGTATTTCTTGTATTTGATTTTCCTTTAATGACTATAGTTTTTTTTCTCTCTTCATTGCTTCTCTGTTTATGAAGATGGGTGATTGATTTTCCTTACTTCTTTACAGGGCATCCCAAAACATGGTTCCTTTTGCTCTTTTTTTTTCTTTTTGTCTTTTGGATATTGGTTCTTTGATTGCATCTTTCCTACTCTGTGATCCATCTTTAGTGGACTTGTTCGTTTTCTTGTAGTTTAAATGATGATGAACACTTATTATGTATATTAATGATCTAGAATTGCGGTCCTTTTATTCTCAAAATTACTTTAAATGATGAGAAACACATGTTACTATTAGTAAATCTACTATGAACCACAGAGAGGGGTTTAGGGAAAGTTCACAAGCTTTGAAACACCCCTCTTTGTTAGTTTCTGAACTACTTTCAATGGAGAAAGCTGGAATATTTAGATACTAATACAGATTCAAGAAGATTCAATTGAATGTTAAATTCATGTCGAAAATATTCTCCTCGACTGTTGGTGGGATTCGTGCCACCATAAGTAGAGACTGTAGAGTTTTGGAGGACCTTTTGCTCTCTCTAGAATTTAATAGAAGGAGAGCTCTTGAACACATTGATGGGCTTCATGGGAACATCAATCCAGTGCTGCAAAGAGCTTCTCTCTCTATAATGGAATCCCCTCAAAAATTAGTCTTCTTCTTTGTGTATGTTTTATGAATCTATCCAACTCTTCTAGTAAGAACACAGTTTTTGACAGTTTTGATTTTTAATTTGAGAGAGAGAGTCAACTTTAGAGTTGAATTTAACCAGTAAGCGTGGATTTTGGCAGTCGGGTTGCTGCAAGCCACCGACGGTGTGCGGGTACATGTACATCAACGAGACGACGTGGGATCAGAGTGGCGGCACCATGGGCTATGGTGACCTGGACTGCTCCCGGTGGAACAATGACCAGTCTCAGCTGTGCTATACTTGCAACTCATGCAAGGCAGCAGTCCTCGCCAACCTGAAGCACGACTGGCGGAAGGTCGCAGTCCTCAACATTGTGATGCTTATTGTACTGGTCATAGTCTACGTCATTGCCCTCGCTGCATTCCGAAACAACCGCAGGATCGATAACGATGAGCCGCAGGGCGTGAACCGCATGACCAAGGCCCAGCCATCCAGGATCCATTTCTAACCATATATATCTTCCTTTTAATTTTCTCTTCATACCCTATACTCGTCCGTAAACATATATGTTTTATTTCTTTTCAAGCTTCTGTATAATTACCCTTTTCTTATCTGTAGTTTCTTTGGGTTTTCTTCATTTTTCTTTTTTTTTCTGAACAATACCACTCTTGATATGTATATGTTTTGTATCATAACTCGGTCCTAATGCCATTCTGTTGTTTTTCCCCTCTTTTCTTCCCTGTGCCTCTCCTCTCCCCTCCTCTCCTCTCTGCAATCTTTCTTCTTTCCTCATCTCTACTACTCTATGTGGTTTACAACTCTTCAAGGTCTTCTATTAGTTATCTGTTCTCTTATTTCTTATGTAACCCCTTACCTTTAATTTTTCATTTAATCAGTTCTTCCTAGATTAACAGAGGAGCTTAATCCCAGTGTTTTTTTTTTTCCTCCTTTAGGTGGGTTTTGTACATTAGGAAAAAAAAAAAGGGGAACCAATTTTGTGGATATTCCGACTATTTTGGTTTTGATGTACCTGGATTTTTTTTATTTTTTGGTTTGAATGTTGATATTTGTCCTAATAATTGAGTGTTTCTTTATTCCCTCCTCATCCATGGTTGTTTTCTCTTTCTTTTTTATATGGTCCACCCGACCCTTTTTTTAATGGCATATAAGGCCATGCACCCTTAAAAAATAGAATTTAAAACTTGATCATCAAAGAGGTCTTGAATTCAATCATGAATATGTAGGAGTGGAGAAAGAGTAGTGGGGGAGGGAACAAGGGCGTATTGGAATCGATGCGGTCTTCGTCCCACAAAAGAAAAAGTGATCTTATTGAGGATGCATCCATGACATATTTCATTTGGCCCTAGCAAGAGCCTCACTTTAGCACATAGTACTAGACCTGGTACTTTCACAATATGGAAGTAGGTCTAGCAAGGAGCTAGGCCAGGGTTGGCCTACCCCAGGTTGGCCTTACTATGGAGGCCTTATTATTGTTAGGTTTTAGCCAAGGCTATGGCCCATGGCCTTGTTAGATACAGGACTCGGAGAAAAAGGGATTGAAATAGGGAAATTATCAAAAATATACTTTAATTTTTGGATTGTTGGAAATAAACTTCAAACTTTCCAAAACCTTATTCATATTCTTTTTTTTCACTTTTTGTATTTTTTTTTTTTTACCAAAATAATTTTCATGATAGTCTTAGAACCGTGTAGACATTGCGGTAGATTCACTACTGTGATGGTTATGGGCGATTTAGGCTTTTGAGGTATCATGACAATTAAAAAGCCGTGATGGTCATTGAGAGACTTCACGACACTTAAATTAGAACCGTGATAGTCCAATAAATCATGGTGGTTAAATTAGAACCGTGATAGTCCAATAAATCATTATAGTTCTTTAAGTGTCATGATGCTTTAGAACTGCATTTGACTTACAACCCGTCATGACCATCATGGTTTCAATAGACTGTGATGCGTTCACAGTTCTAAGACTACTATGAAGTCTAGTTTTGTCTACTCATCCAAAAAAGGGGTATGGATGAGTTTTTGGAAATTTTTCAAAGTTAAGATATATTTTTTATAATTTCCCCTTAAAATAAAAAGAAAAAAAGGGAATATTATATATTCTTTAGAAAAAGTTTAATAAGGATGCTACCTTATAATGTAGAACTACGGATGCCTATCAAAAATCCATCGGAA